CAGAGCTGTTCTCTCAGGAGCGCTTCTCAAAAGAGCTCTCTCAGCCCCACCGACCTCACAGAGTGTCTGTTGTGGGGAGGGGAGGGGAAGGGAAAGGAGATTGTAAGCCGCTCTGAGACTCCTTTGGGTAGTGAAGGATGGGGTATAAATCCAATCTCTTCTCTTCTTACCTGTAGCAAACACTACAACAACAAACTGCACATTTATTTCAAATGTTGTGGAAAGCAATTCCTTTGTCATACCCATAGGAGTTGTCTCAGACTGTCTACATCCACATTCCATACTGAAGACTATTTGAAGGTACATGGGAGCCCCTGGGTGAGAGAGGCTGGAGATGGACATATTTGGGCAAAGGGGAAAAAAATAGCTTGGCATTTTTTTTAGATTGCAGAAAGATTTCCATTTGTGAAATAGTAAAAAAAAACCCATAAAAATATGTAGGACAGCACTTCCTGAGGTTTCCTGCCAGATCACTAATGCACGACTGGAGACAACACAGGACTTCCCCCCCCCCCTCCTAACTTCTGCAGGGAAAGAATAAGTCTTACTCCCTAATCCTAAACATACAGGCTTAGAAGTCCAATGAAATTTATTTCCAAATGTATACATAATCTTAGGAGTGGATCACAACAGAATTTTGAAACAAAAAGCAACACCAGCGGACAATCAGGAAAACCAAGTCCCAGTGAAATACTAAAGTTCTACTAGGTCATTTTTGTTGCACTTTAGCCTGCTTAACTGTGCCATTTTAACAACACTTTTGTGAATAGACTGAATAGACCTGAACAGGATTCTGCATAGGTCTGCTTAAGTTAGGATCCTTTTCTTACATTCCTGAAAGTACAGAACTGATGTGTTTCAGTGTTGCTGATCTGGCTCTTTACAATGTGGATTGAAACTGAGATATTACAATGGGAAATGTCTTTTTGCCAGTCATTTATTCTCCATTTCCCTAGTTTAAAGCAACTTGCAGAACTTCCGCATAAATCTCACTGTGAGGACTTTCCCACCATTTTGTACAGACAAGTTCTGAGGTTTAAAAAAAAATTAATATGAAAAAGTAGAGCAAGCATGGTGTAGTGATTAAAATACTGGAGCACTCCTCCTAGTGACTCAAATACACTTACACAGAAAAGGAAGATGCCTCCGTCCCCAAATAAGGACGGCAAGTTGATAATCCGGCAGACCTAATTGTAATGTATTAAGTGCCTTATGCTGTATCTGAAATATCTCATGCTTTATAGTACCATATATGTCTGCTCCCGTTTCATCCACTACACACTCTACAACAATTTCTCTACTTAAAATGGTTGAGGGGAGGGGGACTTTCTCTCCTCTACCTCCCTCTTGTACAGTTTATTTATTTATGCCCTATACGGCCAGGGTCTGACATACCCAGGGGTCATTTCGTAGAAAAAGAGCTGCAGGAGCTCATTAGCATAATTTATTAGCATATGCCACACCCCCTGACATCACTGGAAGTGTGCACCAGCCCCTCTGACAGGCAGAAGCACCTGGGATCCATTCTTTCCCCCCTCTCCCTTCCCTTCGCCTCCAAGTCGGGTGAAGGAAAAGGGGAGGGGGAGGATCTCAGGTGCATCTGCTTGACAGAGGTGCTGGCGTGCCCACAGCCAGCCTGGGTGAATTATAGAATCATAGACTCATAGAGTGGGAAGGAACCTCCAGGGTCATCTAGTCCAACCCCCTGCACAATGCAGGAAACTCACCAATACTCCCCCCACACCCCAGTGACCCCTGTTCCACGCCCAGAATATGATTAAAAAAAACCTCCAGGATCACTGGGGGCCAAAGTGGCCTGGAGAAAAATTGCTTCCTGGCCCCAAAGTGGCGATCAGCATTTCCCTGGGCGTGTAAGAAAGGGCCACAAGAACTAAGCACTGATGCAACCCTTCCTGCTCTACCT